GAATGCCCCTGAACTCTTTCTCCCACCTCTTCAGCCTTCCAAAGACAGCACAGCTCAGAGACCAAATGCTGAGAATGGATGTCTTGTGTTGAGTGCATTTGGTTTGTTAACAATAATTTCTTAATATACCAAATCATCAGACAACATGGCCAAAATGGCCTGTTCAAAAGAAGTCTGGTTCCGGCATTTCTGGCCCTTCTTGCTAACAATTTAATCAGGAGCTGGAGCCAGCGTTGAAGTTGATGTAGTCTAGCATCTGAAACTGTATAACCTCTAGAATTCTCAAGTCCTTTGTGGTAGGCGAGGAGAAAAGAAAGAGCTTACCAGCTGACACTCTGCAGACCTCCTTAAAACTAAACACCTGAAAGAAAATTTCAAGAGGGTGGTGTCTTGAGAGCTCAGAAGGAAAAGTGTCCTCAGAGTATTAAATAACCATAATCCTTCCCCCACCCCTGCTGCACCCCATTTGATGTTTCTCATCCTGGTGACCCATCTAAAAGACTCATCCATATGATCTGTATAAACAGACTGTTACCATACACCTTTCTTTTCCTCATCAAAGCTTCATCTGGCCGTCTGGAATCAGGCAGTGCCTCAAGTAGCCATCAGGCATGTGGTGGTGAAAGTTATAAAACATCCATGGCAGTGCTAACTGAGCGAGCTGCCTGTGTTTCAGAGACTGGCCTATTGTGTACTTTGGAATTACACAAGGAAAAATGTGCTTTGACAGAAAATAATTAGCGCTTGCCAAAGGCCAAGCAATAGGTTACAGTATTTTACTTTCATCAAAGCTATCAGGGGATCAGTTAGATTAGATAATAGAAATTTTCTCCTGAAAGTTAAGTACAGATGACTCTAATTACCTGATATTGCACATTAGAGAATGCGTTATGAATAGTACAACTTCATGAAATTTAGGTCAACTGAGACTCTGCAGCTGCTAGTAACCTTAGTAGAAGTTGATGGTAATCCCACTTCCCCACACTTCAGGAGGTTCATTTGTGATAATGATATTGGGGAGGATATTTTCAGCAAAACTTGTAACTTGGTTTTAAAATATTGGAATCTCTCTCAGCCCAGGAGCTGAGCCATTGTTTGGGACTCACTGAAGTCTCTTAAACTGAAAGCATATGTTCACTGTAATTTAGCTTTTTGAGGAAAGTGTCAATTCTGCATGACTCGGGGTAACTGGGTTTGTCACAGTGTCACACAGCCCTGAGATTCTAGAGGCACATCTCAGTGCTGTGGGTTTCCTTTCCCAAGCTTGGTAATCCCATAAACAGCCCTCTCCAAATAGGCTTCTTAGGGCTGTCTGTTCACTTGCCCAGAGTTGAGTGATCCACAGTACATCGGGAAAAGCTGTGTGAATGCAGGGTAAGTGTTAACAGAAGTGGTACAGAATTTCTGAAGACTTGGCTTTGTTTATACAGTCCACTCTGCCTGATGGACAGCTTGTTATAGCTTTTAAAGAACTGGGCAAGCCCTCTGATCTGACCCCTTCTTGACCTCTGCAGCCCAAAGGTCAGTCTGCAGCTAATAAACTCTGAGGTTCTTAGGGTCTACTGTAGGAAAAGGCAGAGAAAGAGCAGCTGCAAGGACTGGGTATCCCCAGATAGGCTGCTTTCAGGTCACTCTCTGATAATGAAAATGATTACCAAATTATATGGAAGTTTAACCGTAATAGTGACTGAGTGGAGGGTGGGGCCCAGTGTATTAGGTTTGATAAATGAACTGTGAAGAGGCCCATCTGGCTCTCAACATCTTTTCTCCCCCTCTTTCCCTACTAAGGGGAAACATTTTAAAATAACAGCAGTACATATAGACTCAATGACCCATGCAAGGAGCTGGAATGGATTAAGATTTAATGGTGACAGTGGAAGAAATTATCATTTGAAAAGTGCACTAAAGAAAAGGTACAGTTCAATGTCCACGCCTGAGTTGTTTTTCTAAAGAAAATTTCGTAAAAATCAGTGCCTTTGTTTATTTTACACAAATCCCTAGCGTCTTTCCTAGATTGCTGAAAATTTTGAGGGCATGTTTATTATGGAATGATTATTTGCAGTCAGATTAAGGAGGGGAATGGGTTTCTTTTGCCTTGAACATGTCAGAGTGAGAATCAAATACTGCATTTCTGCCTGCTTGCTCATTTTAGAGAATGTAGGTAAATCGAGTGTTAGAGAAAATGCTTTATTAAAAAACTGATCCATTTCAGCATTTGGCTGCTGAACATTATGCATTTTTTGAACAGTATGCGTGTCTTGTGCACTGTTTTATTCATACTGTAACTTTGCATGTTTTCTATAAAAATAAGAAGAAAGCACATAATGTTAATTGAGTGTGTGCGCTTGTGCCTTTCTTTATTCCTTTGTTAAACACCCATCATAGCAATGCTAATTAGTGCCCACAATGGGTAGATCACAAGCTATATATTCACTTACTGTTAATTGGTAAGAATAATCTATTTAAAGCTCTCTCCCAGGGTCCTGTGAACGTAGAGTGCCCTGCTTTCTGACCAGTGACTGAGTTCACAAGCTCTGTGCTTTTCTTCAGAGACAGTTGGCACATCCCATGACTCTACTTGCTGAAACAAAAATGATTTTATTTAATAAGCATTTTTGTATATTTTTTGTGCAAACTAGTGCCCAAGATGCTGTGCATGAGAGAATGTGCTCAGCAGCCAATTTAAGAATGTGTCTGGGAATGAGAATTTAGCACATCTCTAGAAGGAGGCAGTGGAAGGCAGTGGAGAGGGGAATGGTGGAGCCATCCTTAACTGCCACAGGTTGGGCATGTGGCTCTAGCCCACAAAGGAAAGTATTTGAATGTAGATGTCTTTGAAGACTAGAATTGCTGTGCCATTGCAAACCTCTTACATTGAACTACATTGTGTACATAATACAGGCTTTACCCAGACAATAATTATATTTAAAATAGAAATAAAAAGCTTTTAACATGATCTAACGTCAGCATATTTTTCATCGTGGGTTTTGAACTGACTGTGTGTCTGTGGGGATTTGCAGTGAGCAGAAAGCTGGGGAAAGAGAATGCTGGGAGATGAGCAACACTTTTAGGATCAACTGTGTTTTTAAACTTTAGAACAGTGCCTTTAAATTTTGTTAAGTGCAAATACAAAAAATAAGATGAAAGTCAGACCATCAAGGTTTTTAAAAATTGAGATATAACTCACATAATAAAAAATTACATGCAACATAAAAGTAATCATTTAAAAATGTATGATTAAGTGATTTTTTTAAAGTATGTTCACAAGACTGTGCAGCCATCACCATTATCTAGTTCCAGAGCATTTCTAATTGGTACCTTGTGCCTGTTCACAGCCACTCTCAGTTCCCTCTTCTCTCCATGGGTTGTCTATCCCACAGGACTATAGATTTGCCAATTCTGACATTTCACTGCATTTTGTTTAAGCATTCATCAGTTGTTGGACATTTGGGTTTCCACTTTTTGGCTATTATGAATGATGTGGCTCAGTACATTCATGTATAGGTTTTTGGATGGCATGGTACCAGTTCCTTTGAGTGTCCACCTCGGAATGGGATTGCTCCGTCATATGGTAACTCTGTTTTCCACATCTGCTGCACTATTTTAAATTCCTACCAGTAGTACACAAAGGTTCCAATTTTTCCACAACTTTGCCAACACTTATTTTCACTTTTTTTGGCTTATA